TTCCGCGTATTGAAGTATGATGCCCAGAAAGATCACTCGGTATGAAGTTTGAATTGGAACTTTATGTGTAAGCAATTTAATTTTTAGGGTAAACCAACTATTGTTTAGTATGCGCTTTATGCATTGGTTTTAACGTATTAACTTATGACCAACTCAAAAAGAAAAGGCATGTAGCCCTTCTGTTCTGGCATAAGGACTCATAAACCCTGACCATGTTATATTGGTTTCATGTTGTTTCTATTCTCTTTTCATATTATGGTCAGTTGTGTTATGCTGTTCGGAATAAAGGGTCTGATATCTTTGATATATTTTCCCCAGAGAACTAAGGAACTTGATACCCCAGACTTATTAAGGCAATTACCTGCCTTGCAACAGCTTCTATCTCGCCTTCTTGATTGTCAGGTTCATGTTTTTCAAGTAATCGTGATTTATCCTCTTTGAAATTTATGTGCCATCGTCATCTTCTTTTCCTCTGTGTTTCAACCTTTATTTTTTTTTTACTTTTCAGGCTATATTGATTGATTTGAAGTTGTATTTCTTGTAATCTTATTAGTTGTAGTTGTATCATTTTGGTTTTGTTCTGTTGAAAATTGATGGGAATCTTTTCCAGCAATTTTATGCATCTCACCCTTATATATATGTTTCTTCTGTGGAATCATGTATACATATAAAGATCTAAGAATGCCTTATAATTACTGAAAAACTGAAGGTGTCCTATTTTGCAGCCAAAGGAGGGAACTGTATGTAATTGCTTGATTCAGTTTGCCCTGTCAATGGTAAGAATTATCAAAACCTATAAGAATTACAATAAAAAAGACAAAAGAAAAAAATAAACTAACTTAATCTAGTACCATTTCAAACTAACCTCCTTGCGGTGTTCCTCCATCAGGTTGCTGGTGAAAGTGCTAAGTTGTATGCTGCAATTACTGATGGCAATGTCAATTTATTAGACAAGGTGGGTTGTGGTTTTTGTCTGTGCAACATGATGGGCGGTTCCTAGCTTCCAAGAAACATCAATGTATCACTCACTTTATTTTCTGGCAGTTCTTTGAGATGCAGCACGATGATGCAGTTAGAGCACTCGAAATTTATAAGAAGTCGAGAAGCCAGGTATATGTCATCTATGATACATTGCTTATGTTGTCATAATATTGGTTCCTTGAAAGATCTTGTATCAAATTTATATTCAACATTGGAAACTTTATGTTACTGCAGGAAGAGAGGTTATGTGAGTTCTTTGAGATCTGCAGGAGCTTTAACTTTGGACGGGCACTGAAATTCATCAAAATTCAACAGGTTGGAGCTTTTAATGTGTCCATGTAGTTCTGTACTTGTTAGTGCCCTTCAATTGGGTTGTCAGTATGGGTAACATTTATAACTGCAGCCCCCTGCATCATTCTTGACTACCATGGAAGATTATGTGAACGACACTCCCAGCAGTTCAACGCTTCAACATACACAAGTATGATGCTTCAACTCTTTGCTTTGGGGCTATCTTGTAATGCACACCCCCATAATTTGGCAAACTTATTTGATGCACACGCTTCTTCTCTTGGCAAGCATATACCACTATAAGTTTATAACAGAATAGTTCTGTTGAAATTTGTCTCACACACATACAGAGCCATGCATGCACAAGTATTTCCGTAACTTCTAACTGCATTGCATTTTCATCACCAAACTTTCTTTCTTTTAAAAATTCTCAATTATTGAACTATGCTGCATCGATTATCATTCAAAGTGGATTATGAAAACAGTGGATTTATTTTAGGCAATTGGGATCTTGATTTCCTTCATTAATCCTGAAGATAATTAACAACCATAACTTGTTTATCAGATCAATGAGAAGGAAGATGCTGCTCCCCAGGGAATTCATCTGGTAGAAGGTGATTTGTTAATTGACCATAAACAAGATGATAATGTAGAAGAAAAATCAAATGCCAATGGGACAGCCCCAGATCAGAGTGAGGCTGCTGGCACATCACAAGTGATTGATCTTCTGGTAAATGCTTATATGAGCTACTTTGTTTGGCACAAAACAGACAAATTTTTATTTCCTTCGACTCATATGATCTTGTCATTCCATTAGAGCTTCGATGAATTACCCCCAGTAACATCAGAGTCAGATGAGCAAAATTCTCTCGCACTTGCAATTGTTCAATCTGGTAACTCGTTTTCCTTTCGTTTAAATTGATATATAGTAACATGAAGTGTCTTAGTGATATATTGTTCATTTCCTTCTACATCTTATCACATAAAACCCATCAGATTCCAAACCAGATGGTCTCAATTCAACAAGCTCGGAGTCTAGTTGGGAGCTTGCACTTTTTACAGCTCCAAGTTCTAATGCAGATGCAGTTTCTGCACCAAGTTCTAATGTAGCTTCAGCTGAAGAGGCTAAGGTGGTAAGTCTTCCATTGTCATGTCCTGACACTTCTACCTAAGGGATGTCCCCTTGCTTATTTACATTCGAATTAGGCCAATTCGGTCCAAATACGATCTCACTTCAATTATAAATCAATTTGGATTTGGATTAGGCCAATCCAATAACTCCAAGTTATAACATGTTGTGAGGAAGAATTACTCAGAAGATTAGGGTAACATGTATTTGGTCACTTTTAATTCTGTTCTCAAATATATGCAGGCTGTTGGACTGGACAGATTGACACTGGATAGTCTATATGATGGTGCAATGGCAAGTACACCAAATCAGAATGGCTTCTACCACAGACAGGCACCCCCTAATCCTTTTGATGATGCCCCAATTAGTCCTTACCAATTAGTCCCACTTCCCCCAAACAACATGCAAATGGCTATCATGCCCCAACAACATGTACAAGACCAAGTCCCGTTTTATGGTCTCTATAGCAATGCAATTCCAACAGCCCCAACTAACTCACAAATGCCTTTCATGACCCAACAAGCAGCTTTCATGATGCAGCAGCAACAGTTAGCCAACATCAGTGATATTCCATCAAATTCTTCTGGCAATCCCTTTGCTATTGAGCAGAGTTATTTGCAACCACCTCCAAACTCTTTCAATGGCTTCATTTAGTAGAGGATCACAGGAAATTGTTGTGGTAATTAAACATTTCTACCCCCAAAGGTTTGAGACATTTGCAGTGGAGGAAGCAGCACTCAGTGTCATGAACGATTTTGATGTTAGAAAACCAGTTCTCCATTGAGTTTACTGGACAGTTGATCCTACATAACTATCTTCTTCTAATGAGAAAATGGTTTGCATGAGTTTGTTGAAATACAATTAGTTGAGACCAAATTGGTCTCTCATCTGATGCCTCTCATGAAGTTTATTATGGGTGGGATTGGCTAGAAATCAATCACCTGGCTAATGAAATGCAACTCAAGACCCTTTCCCCCTAAACCCCTTTTCTTTTTCTTCTTTCATCTTCTTCTTTCTTTTGGTCGTAAGAGAAGGGGAACTTGTTAAAATTCAAAAACATTAAAATAAAAAATACAAACATACCTTGTAAGTTTCATTTTTCTCACCCAAATTGTCAACAATGAACTCCAAAAACTCACAAACCATCTTTCTAATTTTAGACCATCTCACTCTAAAAAGACCTACCATCAGGGATACAAAACACATGAATAAAATACAGAAATAATTAAGGCTCACAAAAATACAACATAAAATCCTGGCTCGTTGAAGTTTGCTTGAGAGGGAGTTGCAGGAACTCATGGTGTCCATAAACCTGCTTGAGATGAAAATCACATAACACAATTGTTCCTTTAGAAGAAGTTTAACCATACAACACAGAATGATGAAAATGGACAAGGAAAAATAAAAGGGAACCTTTCCAAAAAGCAAAACTGCAGAACTTCATGATTTGAGGCACACTCAACAGCTTGATTGCCTTATCTGAAGATATGAGAATGTGTAAAATGCATTTGACCAACTCCTCCATAACTTTTGAAGCTGCCAAGAAACCTGAGTCTGTTTCAAAACCATAAATGCCTACAATCTCCCACCAAGCCAACTCTAGGAGGTACACTGTCAGTATGACGACGATAATCTCATGAATTACTGTTTCCTAATATCTGCATATTATCCACAAATTAGGAAACTAGAAAAGGTAACTGGTATTGGCACTCCAAAAAAGTGATCATGTACTCCTCTAGTATAACAACACAAGGGGAAAATTTCACTTGGAGAAGTGCAGAATAATACT